GGCATACATCATACCCAATGGAGAAAAATCTAAAGCATTTCTGGAGTGGATAGCTGGAGTGAAACAAAGATACCCTCGCTTACCATACCATTCTTACTCAATATAGTGCTGCAACTTTAGCCAGACCATGGATACTACTACCTTACACCCTTCTTCAAGCTTTTCACCTTACACTGACTCCTGACCCACTCCTACTCTTGGGAAAATTTTCCTTTTTGAGCAATTGAAGCCATCAAAGAGATTGCTCACAATAAGTATTTGAAATTCCTTCTGATACGAAGCACCCCTTTCCCACATTAACAATGACTTAGGAGGCTACAGATCTAAGTAATTTAAAGAAAATCATTTGTAGTTACATCCACAAAATGATGGTGGAGGAGTTATTTATATCTACTGTTGTGACAATCAAATAAAAATAATATATGTACAAGTTTTAAGTTTATAAATATTATTGCATTTTATTTGCATGTTGCTATTACATTTTTTGCTTCTGATTAGACAATATTTAAACATGTTCCCCAAATCAAAAGTAATTTGTTATGAAACATTCCAGAATGTTAATTTGCAAGCTTTATGGGAACCAAATTCTCTGTAATGATTTCCTAGTCTTATGGTCAGAAATTAAGTCTAATGTTTGGTTAATCCTTTAATATTGTATTGCATAAGGATTTTAAGTTATGCCATTTGTCATTCCCTCCAGATGCACTGAGTAAACAACTTCTTCACCATTATTACCCTAATTTTAATTTATAGACTAATATGCATCTAGCCAATAAACAGCACCCATTCCCTCTGAGAGTTGTTTTCAAACTTCTTTCATGGTGAATATACTCAAAGATTATTTTTAAACATCTACTATCTTTCAAATGTTGTTTTCCTGAAGAGTATTCCCAGAACTGGACCTTCTATTATTGAAATGGAACCAAACCGCAGCCCCCAGAAGTCTTCCTAATATTCATACAGCTGCTTGAGCTCAAGCCTAGAACTCATTTCAGATTCCTCTATCTCCTTCAGTTACTATCTCCAATTAATCAGAAGTCTGACAATTTTATAAGCTATGTAGTTCTCAAATATGTAACTTTTAAGGTTGTTAGCATTTCCCCATAAATTTGCCACGGCAAATGTCATACACTTTATGTCTATACCTATTACATTATGTGTTATTTAAAGTCATTGTGGTCATATCATAGTTCAGCAAACATGATTTTGTAGATATCTATGGTTTGGTTATATACTACTGTACTCCTTTTAGCTTTTTCTATCCTTTCTAAATCTACCTGATACCTAGCTTTTCCCATCCTTTCTAAATCTACCTGAATATGTCATAGTATTTTTTATTTGTACAGATTTTGTTTGCTTATGAATTTTTCTCCATTATATACCTCAATAGCAAGGGTGGTTTTAGAATCATTTTTAGATTAACAGAAGTAAAACTGACGGTCAGTTTAACATCAGCTGAATTAAATCAGCATGGTGCTGAGCACAGATGGTTCACCTGAGGAAAGTTGCCAGCATAAATAGAGACTAGAAAAGATGAATGAGGTGTTGTGGGTTTCTCTAAGTGTTGCTGTCTGAGCCGCTGGTTCTTCTGGAGGAGCTCGTCATGACTAGCTTCCCCAGTGTGAGTTCAACTATTGTCATCGGAGGAGCTCAGGACCTTGTTGGTGAGAGTAGCTGTGGTTCACTTAGAGGAGCTCTGAACCTTAACACTGAGCATTGCTTCCTGGCTCTGGAGGGGATGGTGTGTGCCATTTGATCTTTAGGATGAACTTGTCATGCTGGCTTTCTGGCATGTACTCCACTGTACTTATTGTAGGAGGAGCTCAGACCTCCACGTTACTGAGGATGGCTGTGGTGCTTTTCAGGACAGCTCTAGTCTTGATTTGAGCATGACTTCTTGGCTCCCGTGTAGAACCCTCATCCTACCAGCACAGCTCCTTCATCCCACTGGCATAGACTTTCTAGCTTCCACTGCTGACCTTTGGACCTTCACAGCACGATCTGTAAAACAGACTGGCCTGAGTCCTTCTCATGGGCTCTAGACCTCCCGCTGGACTCGTGGGAGGTATTGTCTAGGTTTTCATCTGGACTCGTGCAAGACGTTGGTGTGGGATTCAGGCCCTTGGCTGAATATTTTGAGTCTTTAGTGTTATGGACAGATTTCCTGCACTTTCTATGTTTAACTCTGGGAGACCATCATAAAATAATATTATAAATTCTGTGTCCTAGTTCTAATTGTTCTCCTTACAACCCCTCATTACAACACCATTTAAACTTAAATTTAACTTGAGCTCAAAAATATATAATTGATGCATAAAATTACACTAGTTATACAGTTGACAAAATAAATTTCCATTAGGCTGTAGATAGAATTACTAACAGTAACAGTTGCCAAAACATAGTTAAAATAATAACTCTACAGTTTTGGGAGACATTAATTATTATTTTAAACTGTATAGCCAGCTAAGCTACCACTAAAAAACAGGAAAAAAAACATATTTGGAAAAATCAGTGGAGATGCCTACTCCAAGTAAACGTTAGTTTACTAAAGCTTTTAAATAATGAAAAGGATTTATTAAAAGTCTTTAACAGAGAAGAAAGTTATTTTTTAAAGAAAAAAATATGAAAAAGAACTTCAAGCAAATAATTTAGTTTATATCTGAGTAATTTCAAACAACATCATCTGAATAAAACACACAAACACAATAACATGTAACATAGTGGCTGAAGACATGGAAACCTAGAACATTTGACAAGAACACATGAGCAGTCAGGAGGAGAATGTTAATGAGTGTTAAACCATTCCTGGTTTTCTTTTTCAGTCTTAATGTTATACTTTATTAAAATTATTATGGTAACTGATAAATTTTGTAAATAGAATGCTTATCTTTTGTACCAGCAAAGGAATTACAAAATCATAGAGAAACCTACAGTATACGAAGTTATACTCAAAGATTGCAAGGAAAGAGACACCATAGTAATTGCTTTTATGTCAGGATATCTTGTGGTGGAACATTATTTTGCTTAAATGGTTATGCTTTGACCTGTGCTGTTTTGTTGTTATGCTCTCTTTTATCTCAGTCTCCTTTTTAAAAATTATTTACTTACCTTTTTTGTTATCTTTTTAATTAAGGGAAAATTTAAAAAATAGCAGGATACATTATAGTAATCCACTTTGATTTCCTATTAACTTGATTTGAAACCCTGTATAGCCCTCACCATCTTGCTTTGACTGATTTTCCTCTATTCTGCTTTGATTGATAGTATCAAGTTCAAAAGTATAGGCAACAACTGTAAAGACAATTAAGAGTCATTATGACGCCCATTCTGGTTGACTACTATCTTCTTTTAAAGTCCTGTAATGTCTCCAATGTTTTGGTTTTATTCTTTACTTCTTGTTTAATTTTATTATAACTGATGATACAGGCAATTCTTTTTAAGATAGCAAGAGGCAGTATGGTAACCATTGTTGATCACCTAGTATTTTGTTTTTACATTATCTATTATGTCCATCCTTTTGATTTGACTGACTCTGTTCTGTTATGTCACATTTGGTTTTACTCTCTTCAAAAAAAAGTATTAAGAACTGTGGGAATAATAAAACCCAAAATGTGTAATTGTCATTGTACAGAAGAAAGGAAAAGAAAGTGCTCTAAAGAATATAACTGCATATATATTTAAGTGTATAAGATAGATAACCATATTACTGAGTTTTGTTGGATCATTGAACAAAACTGTTTCCAGTCTCACTGTTTGAAAGTCCACTTTATATGCTTTAATTTTGTAACTTGAACAACTATTTCTAAGATAACAATATGTAATCTACCAACTAATGATTTCCTATTGTTTATTTTTTCTGAAATTCTGTATAATTTGTACCCTTTTTCTGTTTTTCTTTCTTTTTCTCCTTAAATAAAAAAAATATACTGAGAAAGGTGATTTCAAAACTTGAAAGTAGATGCTAGGAACTTCCCAAATAGATCACTAAAAGTAAGTTCAGTTGTTAGTGGGAGTAGGATTTTAAGTTGGGAGTACACTTTATGTGGAAGCTTATTTTGGGAATAACCTTCTGAGAAACACTAAGTCAATCATCCCATAAACTGCAAGTTATTTACACTTTTGAACAAAATAATACTGCTTGTAAAAATTTATCTTGAAAGTCAAAAAACTACACACAACCACATATAGCATATGTAAAAATTCAAAATACAATACTATGGAAATATTTGTTGTAATCTATACAGAAACTTCAGACTCTCAAACCCTTTGTACAATAAAATTAATATTTCTATTCTTTTTATTAGTATATAGAAAAAGAGATGAAAATATATTTTCAGAATGGTAGCAGAAGTCAATTCTTGATATTGGGCCATTGGGTGGTCAACATTTCTTCTTCAATATACTTTTATCTCATTTATGACTACGAAAACATATCATTTTTGCCAATCAATATACCTCAACCAAACTTCAAATGTATTATATTTGAGTCGGTACTAACATTTTAAAATCATTTACATTTGCACATTTCTTTATCATTCTGCCTGTGTGTGCATATACATGTGTAATGGTACAACTTCATATGAAGTTTTCAAGAGCCTGAGATGTTCATATCACCAATATTTTCTTTTTTACTCAGAAGGAGACTAAAAACCAGGTTTACAATATTCTGGCTTGCAAGACTTCGCAGGGTGCTTGTTTTGTGAATTCTCTGTTCTCTGTGCCAATTTCTCAAAATATGCACAGAATATTGATCTGTCTTTCAATGTGCAGTTATAGAAATGTACACTCACGTGCACATATGACACCTCAGTGTAAGTTTGTACATTCCCACCCCTGAGAGTATCCAAGGCCACTCTCCAGATGTGAACCTTAATGAGCAGTAACCACAGTCATAAATACCTCTCAGAAATGAGGAACATTCTCATGGTGTCAACACAGCTATTTCTTGGTGATTTCCCAATACAGTTAGGAAACATTCCCTCGATCTCACAAGAAGAGTTTGAGGTCTTATTTTTTTTTTTAATTTCTAAAGAGAAGCAGGGAAAGATAAAACTGGCAGACAGGGAGACCACAGCTTCATGCTGCCTGAGTCTTCTGAGCTGTCTGCAGTAACCAACATGTCCTGGATTTTGCTTTCTGGGCTCTGTCTCATCATTCAAACTCAAGGTAAGTGAAACTTGGTCACATCCTACACGAAGCTCAAATTATTTGATGGATGCTTAAATTACCCTTGAACAAATAACACAGGTCCCTGTGATATAAAGATCAAGACTGATAATCATGTAAAAAGTAGTGTGGACCTGACATTTCCTTCTGTGGATATACTTGTAATAAATCCTGTAATGAAAGAGCTAAAGTATATGTTTAAAGGTTTGTGTAAGCTCACCACAAAATTATCACTTGTTTAACAATGCTGTGTACAAGTTGTATTTAAAGTCTGGCTCTAGACTTCGTATTACTCATGTGTTTATTTTATTGTTCAGAGCTAATACTGTACTCAAATGATAAAATAGAATGATTTAAAATAATTATATATATACATGTACAGCTTAGTGAAAGTATTTCAAAACCATTTATTAAATTCCTTTAAAAGTACTCTAGTCTTGGTTGTGATTTAAATGTTTAATGAACTATCTCTAAAAATGTGTATCACATAAAATAATCTGACTAGTTCTATCATTACTCTCTCGATACTTTTGTGTTTGGTGTTACTTTTTTTTTGCTGGGCATTGAAAGCAGTCTCTTAGAAACATGAATTGGACTACTTTAGGTCTTATCATTTTATTTGCTAAAACACATAGCCCCAAATACACGACACTACCCTACTTAAAATTTCAACATACACCTCCATGCCAGCATTCAAATTCTGCTTTATTCTGATATTTCATCACCGTAATCCTTATCACCTTCCAATGTGTAGTTGGTTTATTATAATACACAGGACATACCTGTCAATCTTCCTAGATGCTGAGAGACAAATCAACCAATTGACAAATAGAAAGTGAATTATATAAACAGGAATCACAGTATATTCTATTTATTGATTTAACTCAATGACCTCCAATCATGACTAGCTCAAAGTTAGCATTCAATAAATATTTGTTGAATTAATATATGAATTTTAATATTAAAAGTAGTATCAAAGGTGTTTTATTACTGACTCAAGAAGAATTTAACACTTTTACATTATAACTTGCTATGATTATGTTAAAAATCAAAGTGATTTGAGATATTATAGTTAAAGTATGAATATATTATTCACTCAGTGTCTCCATTTCCAAAATTAAATATTTTTGAGAAATAAGAATTTGGAATTTTGTTAGAGCTTTCTTGACTTTGATCTTTATGTTCCTTAAAGAGACACACAAGGTACAGTTTTTACTTTAGAAATCTTGTTAAGGCCTTTAGCTGAATCAAATTGTAAGCTCTGTTTGGAAATGTTCTCAAGTCCAAATAAAGCAAGTAATGAGGTAAACAAATACTTTGAAGGCTTTCCCAAAATTGCACAGTTAGTACTAAACTGACTAGATATTATTAAAATTCACTCTAATTTCAAGTCTATGTCTATGGATCCACATTATCGTTTGAAAAATGAATACTTACTACTGCCGTTCTAAATTTTCTGCATGACGAATTCCTCTCAGGACACACTGCAACAGATCTCTGGCAGCTTCTACTGTTTCCCTTCAGGTTCTCCATATCTGCCAGGGGTAGAATTGCTTGGTGTCCTAATGAAGCCTCAGCTCGTCACAATGAGCAGGAAAATGTTTCAAAGCTCAGATACTTTAGAGTGAAATACAGGCGTGACTTATATTGAATGATCTTATATAAATAATTGGATGACTATAAAGAAGAGGTGCCCTACTATTTCCCTAAAATGGTGCTAAATAATTTTTATGTTTCATTCAAGCTGTAAACCAATCTCTTTGATGATAAAAACTACAAAGGCAAAATGACTTCTCTAAGCCTATTTACCAGAACATAAGACCACTTCTTTTGATTACAAGTTAAGTCATTTTCTCAGTATTTGTAAACAAAGGAAACTTCCCTACTTGCTTTTTGTTGCTTTAAAATTCCTCCAAGAGAGATCAACAGCAACATTTCCTGTGAGAGCTCCAGTCTTGAAGGACAGAGCTAACAAAAGAAAAAAGACATTGGCTTACTGTCAAGGCAAACAGTGAAAATCACAGTCACTGTAGTTTAATGGAATATTTCCCTAAAATGGTGTAAGTGGTATTTGGAGTAGTTAGGGCTTGCATCACACTAAGAACAAGACATAGAAAAGGAAAAGCAGATGCCTCAAGAGGATTTAGCAGGATTTTTTTTTTTTTAAGAGGATGGCAGAGGAAGAAGTAACCAGATTACTTCACGTATATTTCCTGACTCACTACTCCCTCTTCTTAATCTCTGTTTCGGTCTTGGTGGTTCAGAATTTGCACACAAAGAGGCCATTCAAAGAATTGTTGCACCTTTATGATGTCTCTGAACAATGGAGAAAGAGAGACAGAGAAACAGACAGACAGGCAGACAGATAGACAGAAACAGACAGAGGCAGAGAGGAGATTGTTAGGAAAAGAATTTGCTCTTAATGTTTGTGCTCTAGAAAATTACCAGTCTTTTATGTTTTCTCAGTAGATCAATAGATATTCAAACAAAACCAAACCAGAATGAAACTTTTTAAATTTTTTGTATCAATATTATCTTTCTTTCTTTAGTAATAGCCATAAAGCAAACTCCTGAATTTAACCTCCATGAAATAGTTCATCCTAAAATGCTACACAATTTATCCAAAAGAGGAATCGAGAATAACCAGACAGAAAAACAAGGCAAAGAGGTAAGCAATAAAGGATTGTGATAGACTTTACAATCCTCTGTGGACAAAGATGAAAGTCCTTTTACCAGCTGAAATGATGTCACAGTTCACAGCGAATAGTTCTTCTTGATATCCCTATATACAGTTGGTTTTTACAGGAGAGATTATAGGATTCCTCAAAAGCAGTAATTGGGAATTTCTTTAAATCTCTGGGGGATGCAAATTTCCAGAAAGGGCAAACGTGTAGGAGATGGTACTAAGTCCTGGATTCTCCATACCCACTTCTCTGCCTCATTCTTAACTTTTATCCAGTGCATTGCCTTTTATCTTTCTAAATTATTTGTCTTTAGTGGAGAATTCAACTTTAGTTGACAATTGTTATTTTTCGTATATCAAGATTATTAACTTTTGACTACCCCATTGTTACAACATTTCTCTCATTTTTTAAAATTTTCATCTTATTTAATTCTTAGTAGATTTAAAAATTGCCTTTAAAGTGAAAGTATATCTCCTGTAATTCTCCTGTTGATCAATTATGTACTCAGGATGGTGATACACTGGAGCAAATGGTAAGTCCCTATCATATATTAGACCTAGTTTAATCTGCATCATTACTATGTAATTGTTCATACATTTAGGAAGAATTTCTTAATGTGCAAGTTAGGCTTTGTTTTAGATACTTTAAAGGCATAAGAGAACTATCCTAAACTTTCGTATGTTTATAACTGTTCTAATTTGTACTACATATAGCATTATATTCAGAAATACAACTCGTGTAATTAAACTTTTAAAAATTTTCAGGAAACTTATATATCTGAAGTTCAATATCTGATTAGAGTAAATGGAGAAGAAGTCATTCTTCATCTACAAAAAGCCAAGTAAGTTGTACTTCTTCAATCTAATCACTGAATTATATTAAGCCATGTTGGAGAAAAGTTTTTGAAACTCTTCAGTACAGTTGCAGGCATACGGAGCTTTAGATGACACTGATTTGTGCTCATGTTATCTAAGAAGGTTGATGCTTTCTTGGGGAATCATTTGCAAAGCGTAAAACAATGACAGTTACACAAATATACGACTTCCTTTCTTGAATGTTTTGCAATTTATTGAAATCACCTACCTTGATAAACTCCAACTTTTGATGTGATTTCCTATTAGTTTTATATGAGGCAAATTTAGAGTACACAGAATTGAGATATGTTCCAGGAAATGGGTTTCCATCAACTTCTATAACACTCAGTAAACTACTTTTGAGAGGCAGTGGCTCTTGATACACACTTGTGACCTCACACCCTTCAGAATTTTCTGAAGGTTGAGCACTTGGTGCAAAGAACCCTGAAATGACCCATTTGTCAGGAAAAAAGAAACATTTGTGGCTGAACAGTACTTGAGAGCATTTCTGTCCTCAATTTAATTATTACTAATTATTTGATGTGAGTTTCAATGCTGGAAAGAAATCAAGGGCCAAAATGTCAGTTTTCTCATTGTAGGCATTATAGTTCCTTTGGTGCAGAAGAATGTCTTAGGTAAATGAATCTTTGTCCACATCTTGAGTGTACTATGCCACTTTCTGCTCTCCATAGGCATGTCCTGGGGCCAGACTACACTGAAACGTATTACTCACCCAGAGGAGAAGAAATAACCGGGAGCTCTCAGAACATGGTAGGATTTGAACACTCCCTGGGACTCTTGCAAGATCCATCATTGAGCTCACAAAATGCATAGATCCAATGATAATTTAAAAATATTATTTGAGCCGGGGATTTAGCTCAGTGGCATAAGCACCTGCCTTGCAAGCACATGAGTTCAATCCCTGGTACAAAAAAAATTTTATTTGAAATCAAAGTGCTCACATACCACCTGTGAGACAACACATATAAAATCACAGTCAGCTTTTAAGATAGAGTAACAGGAGGCTTCTAAATTTTGCATCTTGAAGAGCAATTCAAAGTCCACTTGTCCTTAGACTATTTTATGCAGGAATTAGAAATAGTTTCCCCTATAGATAACTGAAAGGACATGTCACTATTATTATTTTTTTTTCTTTTTTGGTACTGATCAAACCCAGGACCCTGTGTATGCAAGGCAAGAACTCTACCATTGAGCCACATTCCCAGCCCCAACATGTCACTATTTACTGATTCTTTAAAATATGTTTTTTATTAGACTCAGAGATGGATTATCAATTATTGAATGAATATGTTTGTATTTAGTCAAGCCATACACCTATACACCACAGTCAGATGTCAGACATAGAGAAACAACTATAGAGAACTAGCAAAGAGCAAGATCTAATGCAGAAAGCTCATTTGGGAGATATCACACCGAGATGCTTATTCACAGGTATCCTTCCTGGCACTCTAAACATGCACAACCTTATAAGCAAAACAAAAAACCCATTACAAAATCAGACTTCATTCTTTCCTCTTATCACAGCACTCATTTTTGAGATGTGTGGATTTTTGTTAATATTTGTCCTCAGTGGAGAGTATCTGACACATTAATTCATGCTCAAATATTAGCGCTCAACAAGGTACCTTTTCCAAATCTTCCACAAGAAAATGTTTCTATCAAGGACTCTTCCAAAGAAGGTACAAGTCATGCATATGGTGGATTTCCAACTCTTCAGCAAGTCAATTTACTTTACATCAGAGATTGTTCATCACATTTTGTACGCAGTGTCACATATGAGGTCCCAATATGATATGGACCACCAGTTGTGTAAGTTTTTCATTGCACACAAATATTCTAGGGCCTTAAATCTGGTAGTGGCATCTCACTAATACTCCAATGACAATGATGAATTAAGCCAATTATTTTGAAAAATAGGTGGCTGATTTTACTAACATGGACCTTGAGACTCACAGAGGGACTCTCACAGCTTCTTGAAAGTGGCCCCGCAACCAGCGATTCTGCACAGTACAATAAATCCCAAAGGGATCAGACGTTTCTCAGCAGCAATGTTCGCTTTTCTCATAAGCTCATTTATGCGTTGAGTCCTAGACTTTGTCTTTATGCAATTAGTATGTGAAAAATAACCCAGATACCAATTCAGAAAACCTCTGAGGACCTCAACATGTTTGTTTCTGAAAGGCGGTTAGGACATAGACACTACTTGGACTTTGCACATACTCAAGGTGGCAGCTTTCCTCGTTGCTGTAATTCATATACTCTGGCGGTGTGCACATATGTGTGTAAACTATGCTTATATATGTGTGGATATGCATTTCTAAAGTATATGCATATTTTTTAATTACAGAAACATTGTTACTATGAAGGTCATATTCTGAATGAAAAGGATTCTATTGCCAGCATTAGCACCTGCGATGGGCTGAGGTGAGAGACACTATCAGAACGAGTAAATGTCAAGTATCTGTTTGTTATGAGATTAAGATGAAGAATAAGGTAGCACCATTACAATCATATCATAATCTGCTACTCTTGAAGTACAGAGCTGCTCTGTTTAAGTAAGAATGCTACATTCTGGACCTGGTGATATCTAGAGTTACTTCAGAGATCATCGACTTCTCTCTTTGAAGCAATCTTGTTTTTTTTAATACTCTACAGTTTTCTCAGCTGAACTTAATTTTTTAATAATATGTGTGTGCATTCCTGTTTAAATAAATAACTCTTGCCAACCAGAGAAAATTCACAGGGTAAAAGGAAGCACAAAATAATAAAATAACAGCTACTATAAAATTTTACCTCTGAATGATCAATATTACTAATACTTCATTGTGTTTCAGCCCTTTATATATATGGACATATATATCTTTCCCATCAATAAAAGATGAAATAAAACCTGTAGCTATTCTTTCAATACCATTATTACATAGTATGACATAGTAAGTTTTTTCATACCATAAAATACTTTTATGGCTATAATTTTTAATGGCATTTATGGATTCATGTTATTCCTCTACACAACTTATCTTCCTTAAAAAAAAAGGATATTTCTTAAGCCACTGCTAGCCCTGATTGGCCTCTCTGGGTGACTTACTAGTCCATTGTTCACCCCTGTTGGCATCTGTACATTTCTTTACTCTATTCCTGTTATATTCCTGGGATCTGTCAAGAAAATTTTGCTAAATGAATAATCAAGCTGAAAAAAATACCAAATTAATGGTGTAAATGCCACATTCTTTAAGATTGCTTCATTTTAGCAATTCTTCAGACTAAATGGATAAGATAGGCACTAGTTAAGTATTGACAAATACTGATCATAATCATTTATACGACAGGTAAAGGACTATGTGTAAATTTGGATGGGGAGGAGGTAGTGAGCCACTCAGCACAGGTGTGTAAGAATCTGAGCATTAGCGAACCCTAAAACACAAGTCTCTCTGTCTCACAGAGGTCACTTCACACACCATGGCCAAAGATACCTGATCAGGCCTCTGCGAAGAGCTGACCAGAATGAACATGTGGTCCTCACCTACAATCAGGAGGAAGGAGACATGGCTAATCGCACGTGTGGTGTGAGGAGACTGGGCAGGAGACAGAGCCGTCGTAGGCTATCTAGGTCCCTGGGAAGTGTAAAGGTAAGGTTGGCTTTGCAATGCTATGAGTTCAGCTCTCTCAGAAGTGACAGTGCAGGGTTCAGCAATGCTTGGTCTTTACTTATTCTTCAATTTAATTCTTTCCTGGGAAAAAAATCTTTTGTAAGGCTTTGAATCTTTTATGACAAAGACATGAGTTGACACTGTTCTTCTATTATTTGTAAAGCCAGAAGACTTTCTTCAGAGACAGAAGTACATTGATCTCTTTTTGGTACTGGATAATGCCTTTGTGAGTATGAAATTTGTGTGCTTCTTAGTGTATTCAACTTTTAAGTTATTTGGTCAATCAAAAGAAAGCAATTGTCTTTTGTAGTAAAGAGGTACTAGGTCCAACCGATTTTGTTGTCTGTGCCACCTATTCTGTCAGTATCAGTTTTCACCCCAATCCACTTTAATATCTGCCACCAAATATTTAGGTATTGGAGATATGCTTAATACCGCATAGCCTTAGGAAATAACCACAAAAATAAAAAGAGTGAATTGTTATAATATTAAATTCCCTTATATTTATAAGATATAAATATATCTTTAATACAAATATCATTAACACATAAACAAGGCCTAAAACTATACATAAGTTACAAATTATATTTAGGTATGTAGAGAAAAGCTACTAGAGTCTATGATATTACTTAGTACATGCTGCTTCATAATTAAATTTTAATACTGAATATTTTTTCAGCTACTTACATTATTAATTTAATTTACTAAACTTAAAGATGAATAACATTGAAATTCCATGAGTGTCTGATTTGTCACTTAGCAAAAAACTCCTGAATTAAAGTCTTGAAAAGGGTAGTCATGGAATAAAGAGATGTTAATTACACCGGTAACTTTTATATAAATGTGAAATCCTGTACCCTATTAGCTTTCCACCTTAATTTGCTATTTTAGTTATGCTCTGTGTTTCACATTTTACAGTATAAGATGTATAATGGGAATCTCACCGTGATAAGAAGCTTTTTGTTTAATGTGCTGAACCTACTCAATGTGGTAAGATATTTGTCATCTCAGCATGCGCTTCCACATGGGAACTTGTGGCTTCCATGTGACTTCACAACAACGGGGTGAGAGTGTCACAATGCCTTAAGAACAGTAGTTCTGGAAAATTTAGACAAAATGGGGGAAAGAGATCAGCATTTAGGTGAACAAATTACACCACAATGTAGCAAAGACCCTTTCTAAGATTTCTATTTCCAGAATAAAAATTACTCATTACTCAAGGTCTATCCCCTTATCTGTCACATGTGGTCAACAAAGCTCCAAACACTGAAGACACCTGCACTTTTTCATGAAGAAAAATACTCTTTCCACAGATATATAACACAATAGATGTTCAGGTGGCTTTGGTTGGTATGGAAATCTGGTCCAGTGGTGACAAGATCAAGGTGGAACCCAACATGGGCAACACGTATAACAGTTTCATGAAGTGGCATAGATCTAACTCAGGGAAACAGAAGACCCATGACCATGCTCAGCTTCTCAGGTAAGCCCGTGCTGGCCAGGGTGGATATACATCAGTAAAGTGGGTAGCTAACCCCAAGGCTCCTTGGCAGGGATTGCTGCTCATTCACATCACCCCAACCATGCGTTCTACCATAAGCAACTTACCTGTGGGACACTTGGAAGACCCTGTAAGATACATAGCATGGGTTCTTGGGTATGAGAAAATCCTCTGTGGTCATTATAATGGTATGGGACAGTGGAAGCCAATCTGAGGACCAACGGACATGAAATGGCCAGGGTGACAGAGGAAATGTATGACAACACTGGAAAAGTTAACGAGTCCAAAATCTCTGACTATGACAATGTCTCTGTACCTTCCACACAGTGGAATTGGCTTCAACAATCGGCGTGCAGGATTGGCAGCCTCGAATTCCCTGTGCTCCCCAGCTTCGATTTCTGTCATTGAGGTATGTACACTTATCCTAAGGCTCACTGTGACTCCTTCTATATCTGTAGGAAGCTGAATATGTGATTTGCGCAGACTGTAAGCATAATAAGCGTTTGCTGGGTGAATAGGTAAAAGCAGAAATGAATGTACTGGTAGGCTCCTGCACTGAAAATTTCTTAGATTATGAAACACCAGCCTCTCAAAAGACTTCCCACTTTAGTTGGTGTTAAGGGATAAGAGCAGGAATACTGAAACAGAGAGCAGATATAGGTGCCTTCTGCAGCCTGAGGTATCTCTACATTAGTTATCTCTGGCTGAACAGGTCAGATAAGGAAGACCAATGCAGATATAAGTTATGTAGCCAAGTCCTGTAAATGTTAGAGGTATCTTCATGGCCCTTATTAACCTCCCAGTCCATATTATGCTGCCTATTCATAGTTTCCAAGAGTAATGAAGGTAAGTTAGCCTTTGTTTACTGAGCACTTAGCGGCCCTGAGTTTGACAAATCTTGAGTCCGGATTCAGTGACCAGATTCATGGCACCTGACCATTTCAAATGTTCACTCAGCATCACCCAATAAGCAGTTTCAAGGAAAGGGGCTGAGTGACCCATTTTCATTGCTCAAGCTATTCTTTTCAAGTACTGCATATTTACAATTCAGAGCAGAACATATTTGGTTTCATAAATAAGAAGTGACATACTTTTCTATTTTTTTTCAGGCTAAAGATAAGAATGATGTGTCTCTCGTAGCAGTGATGGCCCATGAGTTGGGCCACGTCCTTGGTATGCCTGACATTCCATATAATACCCAGTGTCCTTCTGGCAGTTGTGTGATGAACCAATATCTGAGGTAAAATCATGTCATCCTAAGTTTTAAAACATACTTCCCAAATCTAAAAGAATTTAATACACTCTTCCTGTGTGAGGTGAGTATTTTCCCCCAAAAGAGTATACACCCCACTAGTTCAACTTCCATTGTCCTTTAGTACAGATTTTACCAAGTATCAGGGCTCCTTCTTTGAGAGCCCCAAATATTCCAGGATAGAGTTTCCAACCATGGCAATGATATTACTTTAATTTAAAGTTATTTTAACTTAAAGCAAAATCACCTACTAAAAGCACACGGATATTTAAGAAAAGCATGCCTTCATGACACGTACGTTGCTCTTGAGGTGTTCACAAGTAAAGTGAGAAATATTTGTGCGTAACCGAGAAGTCTGCAGTTATTCCACTTCACTGAGTCATTGTTGCTGTCTCGTTGCCACTTACTCTTCAGTTCCAGATGAGTGGATGACAGCAAGTAGCGAAATTGATTATTATTGCTCTTTAGGACAGTGATCAAACCATGTGGGGATTTAAATGCTTCAGTTCTGCATTTGTGTATTTCGGAAAAAGATTTCAGTGAGCATGGTGTGCATGCATTACCACCTGGCATGTGTGACATAGTCTGGGCATTAGCATTCACTTAATTTGGGATCTCCATTGAACTGAGTAATACCATTAGATAAGTTAGATTCTCCTGTTCAGTTATCATGCAAAAATTGCCCTATTGTCTTCCTATTATTTCTAAGTATTTTTTTTTTGGTTGCAGTTCAAAATTTCCAAAGGATTTTAGTACCATCTGCCGCTCACATTTTCAAAATTACATTGTATCTCAAAAACCAAAGTGTCTGCTACAAGCACCTAGTCCTAAAAATATAATAACAAAGCCAGTGTGTGGGAACCAACTTCTGGAAGTAGGAGAAGATTGTGATTGTGGTTCTCCTAAGGTATGAGATCATAAGTGGTTTAAATTTTTATTGGACTGTTACTGGGGCACCAAATATGTAGTTTTATTTTTTCTTTATTTTTTCCATTCTTTTTAAATGTTTTTCTGGAAATTCTTTTAAAGATAACACAAAAGTTAAAAAGTAGATTTGCACTTGTGCTTTGCTAGTGATTTTAGTCATCTTTCAAAAGCCAGGATATGATCATGATATGATTGGATAAAGTTGAATGTAAAGATGTAAATCATCAGCCACAGTGTGTCACTTATCTTTCTGGACAACTTAGCTAGAAATTGCTTAATTCCATGATGTCAGTCAATGATTTGTTAAGCAGTAGCAGTTATAGATCTGGAGGTAAGGTCTCACTGTAGAGAAAATTGCCTTTTCTTATCAAGTCAATACGTAAACCAGGAAGTAATCAAAGGTTGTAAAAACAAAAGAGAAATCACTTAAGCTTCTAGAAAATTAACTATTAACATATAATATCTAAGATAACTACTATGATTTAACACTTATGAAATATCAGGGCATCCATGTACTCTAATGAATGTCTCTGATAGAATTCTCACTAGCAATCTCACATTAGGTTTCTAAGAATGCTGCTTTCTGCCTGCATTGCAAGCAGGCAGTTGTGAGTTCGATTCCCAGTACTGATAAAAAGGAGAAAGACAAAAAAAAAAAAAAAAAAGAAAAGAATTCTGCTTTCTTAGCAATCTTTAAGACAAAATTATCATTTGAAGAGATTATATGTACTAGACTTCAAAGTATGTTTTTACCATCTATGTCTTATCTCCTTTGTTAAGACAAACTTACCAAATAAACGCTGCTGTTATCCTAATTACAGACATTGAGCTCAGAAAAGTAGTTAGTAAATAAGAAACTAGTTCCAAGGATGAAAGCTAGTAATTGATAACAAAATGAAACCCGAGGTTTGTCCAGTACTTTAGATCACTCTATTACTGTATAGAAGACAGATGATCATTCCATGCTTTGGCTTATGTATTCAGAAATTCTGAGCTGTTAAATTGCATTAGAATGTTGTTGGATGTGACTTAAACATTTGTTGAGGGATATTGCAAATATCCTGCTAATTATAATAAAGTATGGAGTTTTACAAATGATTTGACCTTTAAAATAAATTACAGTTGAGTTTATCTTAAGCTGGCTAACCCACATTCCCATATTTTCTTGGATAGAAATAAATTGAAGCTCATAAATCACAGGTGCTTCTAGCTGTGTAGATGAATAGCACATTTTCAGAGGAGATGCAGGGGAGGAGAAAAATAAAAGGAATGACTGTCTATACAGCACACAATATCTTGTTTTCTTGAAATACATCAGTCAACTTTCATATTATTTCAGTATCTAGTTTTCTTTTTATGTAACTGATGAAAACTAGTAAATTCAGGCTTATGGACATCTATATTTTTAAATAACTAATTCCTTATCCAAAAAGTAATTGGGGCTGGTATAATAATTTAATAGTAGAGCACTTGCCTACTGATATCAATGCTTTATTATTATTATTATTATTATTATTATTATAGTCATTATGTTAAATAATTATCTTGGTGACACATAAAATATATTTAAGGGGTGATTCTCTCTTTTCCAAATAAAGGATTTTATCCCACAGAAACAGTAAAAACATGATTCATACATTCCCATTATATCTTCAAATCTTTTTTTATGTCTCATAGACTTATTAGACTCTCCAAAAAGTAGACTATAAATAACCCTTGCCTGTTATATAAATTACAAACAATGCTGAAGTAATTTAATAATGATAGCTCAAATTATCCAGTTAACCTTTATTACAATAATACTCCTTATTTTCTCCTCAGTTTCTTACTATAGTAGCTTATACAACTTTATTTCTTAGAGTTGCACCACTATTGCATTTTTGATGAAGAAAATGCCCACAGATGTAGGAGAGTTATTATATTAATAAAGCAATGTTTTGCCAGTATTATATTCATATTTTTGCATTTATATTCATTTGAAAATAGTGTATGTGCGCGCATGCGTGTGTGACCATGTGGTCTCACAACCAAGATTATGCATGCTTAGTAAAATACTATAGTGGGTTAAATTTTGTCCCTGTTTTCAGAGCGTTTGAATAAAATAGAAACATAGTTCTTTGAAACTCATAAGTCATTTATATTCATCCCCAGTCCAAATTCATTTGGGGAATTTCTTAGAGAATTCCATTTGAGTTTTGAGAGGTAGTTTTTGTTGTTTATGACTTTTTTTCCTATTATTAACTTTGTTTGGTCATTTCCACTGAACTCGTGTAACACATTAGTTTACTCAGTGAGATTTCCCTGCCGTCTTGTACCTAAATCCTATGTACCTTGGGAATAAACTTGAATTTACGCTCCCTGTTGCGTGTTTGCTTTGAAGAAATGCACTGATCCTTGCTGCGATGCGCGGACCTGCAACCTTAAAAGTGAACCCAGCTGCAGAAAAGGTGCCTCCGGCCGTGTCACGTGAGATCTTTCTTCTCTGTGTTCCTAAATATTTTCCCAGTGTTATTTCAGATTTGAGAAAGATCCCCCACTGAGTTCTATAATACCCGGAAGCACAATTTACTTTATTTTTGAAAATGCTTCAATTTTGAGAAGAAAGAAAATTCTTAATTATAAACATAAATCACTAAGGCCGTGTAACTATAATGCTAATGCGGGGGAATGCACTTCTTCAAGTTCTGTGAGATTATGAAAGCTTAAAACTGCACAGCAAGTATGATTTCCTGTTAGACAATTTTAATGCTAGCTAAAGTGAAAAGAAGAAAAGGATAATTTTTAAAAACTTGATAAATTAGTATATTTTATTCTTGATTAAAAGCTAAGAGCTGTCATTTGCAAGGCAGTTGGAAAATTAGTAGTACTTAAGAGCACACTTTAAGACTTAGCAATTCTATTTTTGTTGAAGTGTTTCAATGAGTTATAATCCAGATAGTCTTCTTGTGTCTTATACATTCCTGCCATTTGGGTTTGAAAAGTCCAGAGCTCAGTTTGTTAGTTGGTTAGTGGAAAACAGTCTCACTATAAAAATGGCAGCAACAATAATAAAATTATTCTTAAGTATGGGAAAAACCCAGGGAGCATTATGTGGAAAGAGTTATTCTTTATTCTTTGTCTAAATCTTTTCTGGAATTGAAACCATAAAGACAACAGTCGACTCAAACGCCTGACTGTCAAATCCACAGGAAAGATGAAATGACAAAGACCACCCTCATGCATTTATCAGCTCTCATTTAATTGCACCGTGTAAGCCATGCTGCATGAGTTCATTCTCATGGCATTTAGAAATTGTGCCTTGCAAAGCATATTAGTAAAAAAGAACAGCAAAGGAAAAATGAAAGAAAAGAAGGGAAAGGAAAAAAGAAAGCCCTGTGAACTCTCCTAGGCTTGGATGAGCAGTGGTATGGTGCTTCCTGTGTGGTGAGGGCCATTTAGTGTCAAGGAAAGACAAGTGAATTTGGAGTCAGGACCCTAAGCTCTCCCCTTAATTCTAGGGAAAACTAGTGGTTTGACCATGAGCTAAGTTGCATAATTTAGCCATAAAATGGAACTGATGATGCTTCTCAGTAGGGTTGTTAGTGTTATTTAAATTCTATACACTGCCATTTTTATTATTACAACATATTTTGCAATCTATAATAACTATGATCTTTAATATTTTTCTCTTAATCAGAAAATGAATCACAGCCTACTTCATTGAGACGCAACTTTGCGACACTCAAGGACTTCAACCGTGCCCGGCATCTTATATTTTCATTGCTGGCATTGTCTATATCTTGCTTTCTGCATTTGTGAATTCAACCAACGACTGAGTGAAAATATCTGAGAGAAAATAATCACTTTTGTACTGAACACAAGGACTTTTATCTTGTCATTATTGTCTTTAAAAATCAGTACTACAACTATTTTTCATATTATCGCCATTGTATTAGGTGTTACAAGTAACGTAGAAATGATTTAAAGTATAGAGCAGAATGCGTGTAGGTTATATGCAAATACTGTGTCATTTTATGTAAGGGGCCACGGCTTTCACATATTTTGGCATCTGTGGGGGTCCTGGGAAGAATCCCTGCTGATAGTGATAGATGTGTTTCACTTGTCATTCTCCTCTTTGTATTTTTACCAGCCAACCATTAAATAGATGTACTTTGAAAAGTTGCCTGTGTAGTTAGACCTAACCATCGATGTGTTTCTAAGAGGTATGAGACTATGCTTGGCTCTGTCCTTTGGAGAACAGAGAAAGAAGATGACCTTTGACTAAAGATCTCAAAATGTATGACCGAGTTACACAGAGTCAATCCAGAATTGTAAATACAAGCGATTTGCACTATAACTTTTTCCTTTTACTAACATAATCTAGGAGTACTTGATATGGGAAGGCTTTATATTCCCCTTGCCCCGCCTTTGTGCTCCTCTCCACGCTCTTCTAATGCATGCAAAGATTAATTAAGTACGAACATTTCTCCTTTTACCAGATATGATTCTTTGCCTATGTCTTTCATTATGAGATATAAAGTATAATTTGAGAGGCCTTCATTGAGTCAGGCAAGAAGACTTTGTTCATCTATTGATTTAATAAATCATATACTATCAATAAAACTACAACTTTTCAATTTGCTGTGTGGTGATTGTCACAAATAAACATTTTTTAAATTCCTTATAGGGGACTCAAGATCATGGTTATTTTCCACCTTAAACAGTATTCTGCCAATATTAGCACTTGAGATAGAATATAGGTACGAGTGGCAAGGAGGGGGTCAGAGGAGGAAAAGACTTTTCCAGTTATGCCTGTTAGCATCCAAGCTGAAAGTTGGGGTATACACAGACCGGGATGATGGGTGACACTCACCTGTAAGTGATTCTCAAGTCTAAGTCCCCAAGTTCCTGCCTAACTGAACTGTCCTGTTACACAAATTTTAGCTTTGAAGCAGTTCCTGATCTATAATTTGATTTGAAAGCATATGCTTTTTCAAAAAGCTGACTTAAAGATAGCTTTAAAGCCTATGCAAAATTAACATATTCTTAAACAAAGACATTTACAAACAAAAATAAAATTTCATAAAAAATAATAAGAGAATAAAGATAGTTACTCTCTTCTACAGCCCCATCATGCTGATTTCAAAGATAGCTAGTGCTTCCTTCCTGAAAACTACTCTTAACAATGAAAAATGAAAGCAAAGCTCTTAAAATAAAAGACATTTCCAGAAAAAATCTCACTGTATACTAAATAAAAGTGGGAAGCAAATACTATGATAAAACACAAACCTAGCGTCACCTTCCCAAAGTGCCGCCCCAGCCAAAGGCTTGGCAAGCTTTACATGCAGTGCTCACTGCTTTCTCCTCTGTACTTCCAGGGGGAAGCCTCCGTATTATTATCAGTTGCACAGTCTTTCTGCCTCAAGTTCAAATCCTGCATTCCTGAAAATCGTATTTATGAACCACCCACGAGCCCTCCTTCTCTGACTAGGAGTCCAGTTAGCAAGTGACAAACAGTGGGTTTCCCCAGGTCAGCCCGCCTTTGTCCTCCTCTCCACGCTGGACTGGCCGAGCTCCTGAGATATCCAGGCCATCAAAGTTCTTGCTTTTCCTTGCCTTTGCATGCGCTGCATCCTGCTTTTCTCTGGCATCCGAGGGACCCTTGTCAGTACTCTGTACTGAGATGACTCCTAAGTCCAGGGGAATGCACACACTTTAGTTCTGAAACCTGTAGCCTTACCAAGGGTCTTAGGTAGGGCCAGGGTTTCTCAACTGGAAGCCAGTGCAGGCTTTTGTGAACAAAGCCCAGGACTTTGCGGGCCATCCTGTGATCACAATGTTTACAGCAACGGACGTCATGTCATCCTCTGTTCAGTCTTCCATTATAACTCTCAGAAAATGGCACCTTCTTTTGTTTGTTTGTTTTTTGCCCCAGAATATGCTGGTCAAGCTGTCCACACATGCCTCAGACAGCCCACATTCTACTCACTGCCTCTACCACCAGCCCATTCTTATGTGTCCTTCAAGTCGCCTGAATAAAACTGATCTTCTTGGCCTGAAAACTGTATCCCTGGACAAACTTTATCCATGCAAATGTCTCGCTTCACTTTTTGATGTGAAACTGGATTTCAGAATTTGCAAAGTTCTCTGTCACTCATTTCAGATTTTGTGTTTTCATACCTAAGAGGAGTCTGGGAATCAGAAAGGAGGGAAGGAGAAGGAAGGACACACACACACACACACGCACGCGCGCGCACACACACACACACACACTCACACACACAAACCAAGCTGGGGCCCCGAATCATCCCCTCAGCTCTCACACAGCTGTCTTCCATAATTTACACTGAGGGTCAGGTGGGTTTTACAGTAGTTATATTGTTTTATAACAATGTTTTACTTTGATGTATTTTGTTTTCCAAAAGAACTCCTTATTTAGCTTTAGTAAGGAAAACCAGAGAAAGGTGGTTTCATGTCTTATTATTTAGAGAATATTTGGGAATGGATGAAACACTTATCCCAAATTGTTCAGTAGGGACAAGTGAGTGAGTCCCATTCAGAAGATGCACTAAAGTAAATAGAGTTCTTTCTTTCTTCTTTTCTTTCTTTCTTTCTTTCTTTCTTTCTTTCTTTCTTTCTTTCTTTCTTTTTCTTTCTTTTCTTTCTTTTCTTTCTTTCTTTTTCTTTCTTTTCTTTCTTTTTCCTTTTTTGTCTCTAGTCAGGAACCCAAATGAGAAGGTCAGATATTGTTCAGGGATAGAAAAACAATGTAAAATAACTTGAGGTAGCAGAAGTCTGCATTAAAGATTTGGGGGGCAGATCACTTGGTCTAAAGTGACATGATAGGAATATAATCAGACCCTCGGTCAAGAATTCCAGTTTTGGAGCTTCCTTAAATCCAGCTGGCCCGTTCCAAGTCTGTTCACCTCTGTCAGATAGCTTCCAATTTCAACGCCCTTCCTGAGGGTAATAACTGATAAGATGGCACAATTATCTGTTCTTCCTGAGAACTAAAATCAGTCCAATGATGGATCTCTGCTCTTACTGTTCATTCAAATCTCCTTTCTGCCATTACCTAGTGGGAAGGTGCCTTGTTCATACCACACATTCTCCTTATCCTCAGCCTCATGCCAAAAATGCAGGCTGGCTTCTTGCTCAGCTTTTCCTTGAAAGCTCCCCTGGGAACTGTAGCCTTGACTCATTTCTCGACAATGGATGAAACTTGGAAGCTGACTACTACTTTCCTAGCCTGCCTACCTACTCACTAAGACCATTTGTAGAGGCTGGTGTTACAGACACAAGTCCCTTGCCTCATACGTATACTATGAATATTTCAGATGTCTGTCTCCCAGGGTGTTTTATTTCTTATGTTCACTTAGCTTTCACTCTTCGGTATAAGATGCGTTTCAACTAAATACTTGGGTGTGGTGTTGGGTGAAGCATGTTGTTTTTCCAGTTGTATAGCCTGTTCTTCTAATAGAATTTGTGGAAGGAAGTACTTGGTTGCCATTAGATTACTATGATACATTTATCAAAACAGAAGTATCAAAGAGCATATGTCTGAGAATCTATTTTTGGCCTCTCTGTTCTGTTCAGTTCATTTATGCATATTGCCTGTAACCTTTAAACATTATTAGTTCTGCTAGTGTTTGAGTTCCATTGACTTGCACACAATTAAGACACCAGTTACTATTCATAAACCAGCTTTGCAGCAGATCATTAGCACCAAGCCTGACTCGGGGCGTACCTGGATGTGAGCCCTGTCTCTTACCTCAATGCCCTCATCTTGCTCTTTCCTAAACACGCTGCATGAGACCCTCTGGATCTGCAGGATACCTCCCACCAAGGGTCACATTAACAGCAACAGCAGTATCCTCTCCACCTCCTGAGTCAGTGGCAAAATGTAATATGTCAATTCAGAATGGATCATTCTGCTACTGTGCAGGAGGTGGCTTCCTTCACAGGGGAAATAAACCCCACATGCATTGGTGATTGACAAAGAATCATACACCTTTGCTTTATTTTATTACCGTTTATGTATTTGTTCAAGGCAATATTTCTTCCCTTCATGAGTTAAATAGAAGTATGAAAGAATAAATAGATTTGAAGAAGATACACTTGTGTCGGGACTATGCCACCACATTTCCCCCAACTTGGTTACCCTACCTTTTTTGACAGCAGACACAAAGTGCCCATGTTACCAAAGAACACTGACCAAAAAGGTTTTGCTGCCATTGAAATATCTCCTATGCAAACGAGCACTAACTCACATTTTTTAAAGGGAAGAGCCTAACAGCCTCTAATAGGAAAAGCTCTCTACTCAGACAGCTGGCAGGGGAAGGGACTCATGGCCCATTTGCCAGTGATTATTTCCAGAGATTGTAAGCTGGGTTGTCTTCTCTGAATTGAATGAGTTCCTACTGTGAATCAGTACCACAGCCAGAGTAAGTGAGAACAGGGGCAGAGAAAATTTCTTGTTTTCCCTCACCCCAGAAGTACAGGGCCAAAAGGAAGAGCGGCATATCTGCACATCAGCAAATGGTGCAGTGTCTACCACCTCCTGTGCTGCTGTGGGTCCTCCTGCCTCAGAGTCCTCTGCTGGAGCCAGTGGCCACCACAGAGCCGCTGGCATTGTTCTGAGTCAGCCTGGGTACAGAGAATGAAGATCTGGGCACCAGCTGCTGGCAGACTGGGAAGGTGCAGCAAAGGGCTGTGAAACTCTCCGAGAACCCTAACAACAGGTGGTTACTTGTCATATTTGCTTGCTAGAACAACCTCCCATTTTAACATTTATCATTCTGGGACACTGACTCTGGTACGCATAAATACATATTTTTTTCTGTACAAATAGATGCGCACTTTATGAGGCAGGGTGTTTCCCTTTTCCTCCCTGGAAGGACTATTATTAAAGTAAAGCCATCGCTGCCTAGTCTGTTACCTGTGAATGCAGGAGTTGCACCCATTACCACAGTGACCCTAACGTGCCAATGAGGCTAACAGAATGTATTTGTAGCTGTATTTAGAGATAATCAGTCCCTTTCTCTTTTGCAATAAGAAAAGACTGCGTGCTTCTTTGTGTTAGGCAATTGTGACACCTGCTGTCAAAACTAAAGAACTTACTCTTTTGTCCAAAGCAGGTTTTTCCCCTTCAAAAGACAAAGATGTCAGACAAAGCTGTTGCTAAGACACAAAAACTTCTCAGAGAAGATGAATGTTTTTCCCTGATCATTTAAAGATTTTTATGGAGACAGCATTTTGTGTTGATATACAGTGAGCAGCTCCAGAATAAGTTTCGGCTTCCTAACTTTATTTTTCTTGAGGATGAATAGAAAAATAATTTGATTACCCACTAGGTACACAAATGTTTACAGACATCTATCAAGACTTTGGGCTCACAGATAGCATTCTCTCCTTAACTTCTAGCTTCCTCTATATTTGAACATGTTTGTCTATATACATATTTGAAATACAATTTTATAGAGCTGTAAATTACATACATTACAATGTAGTTCATTTAAAGATGTGGTTTAATATATTTTGACCAAATGTAACCTGGCTCACAATGGAGCATTCCCATTAACTATTCCTTTATGTCTCCTTTCCTTCAATGTTAAGCTCAGCATGTGTCTCAGGCAAT